AATCGCAGTGTTTACCGTTTGAATGGCATAGCACTGCAATAAGTGGACGCCCAGGAAGAGTTGGATGTGCAGATCTCGACTTTAAGAGAAAAGAAGTCCGCGATGTCAACCCTACGCTTTGTCAAGCGCGCTTCCTCTACCTCTGATGAAAACCGCTTCACTGAAGTCTCTCGAAAGTTTGTGCGGCCGAAACTGGAGTTCGCTATTCAAACCTTGAGACCCTGAGCCTTTGGGGACTTCAGCTTCCCTGAAAAATTTCAAAAGCATGCAAACTTGTGAGTGTACAGGGCTCACTACCCTATAAAACGACAATGGCCTGCTGCTCCTCCGCACCTGCGTAGAACACCGTCTCATCCTGACGAACACTTTCTTCTGTCTGCCGGAGCGAGGGAAGGCCACCTAGAGGCATCCCCGGTCACGTCAGTGGCACCTGCTGGACTATATCCTCGTCCGGAGGTGAGATCAGCGGGACGTGCTGTTGACGAAGGCGATCGCGGGCGCTGACGGGTGGACCAACCATCGCCTCGTCATATCGAAGATGCGTATTCGCCTACAGCCTCGCAGGAGACCACAAGGTAAGCGACCCCCAGGTAAGCTGAATGTTGCCTTATTGTCTTTGCCCGCTCACCATCTTCATTTCAGCAATGAGCTAGCTCAACGGCTAGACAACCTTCCAATCGCTGCCGTCGGCGACTTCGCCGCTGCTGAGTACGACTCCGTGGAGAACCGCTGGTGTCAACTGCGAGACACGGTCCAGTCGACGGCGCTCGCCGTCCTCCGTCGCCCCCCCCCCCTCCCCCGCCAACAGCAGGACTGGTTCGACGACAACGACGCCGTCATCAGAAACCTGCTTGCTAAGAAGAACCGCCTCCACAAAGCCTACGTAGATCACCCCACTGAGGACAACAAAGCTGCCTTCTACCGCAGTCGCTGCCACCTTCAGCAACGACTGCGCGAGTTGCAGAACGCTTGGACTGCTCGCAAAGCTGAGGAGATCCAAGGTTACGCGGACCGCAACGAGTGGAAGAACTTATTCTCCACGATCAAAGCTGTCTACGGTCCGCCGACGAAGGGCACTGCCCCTCTCCTCGGCGCCGACGGTAGCACTCTCCTGACTGAGAAAACATAAATTCTACAGAGATGGGCCGAGCATTTCCGAGGCGTCCTCAACCGCCCCTCCGCCATCTCCGACGTCGCCATCGCCCGTTTGCCGCAAGTGGAGACCAACGTGGATCTTGACCTCTCGGCATCTCTTCAGGAGACCATCAGGGTCGTGCAGCAGCTCTCCAGCGGGAAAGCACCCGGATCGGACGCAATCCCTGTTGAGGTCTACAAGCACGGAGGTCCCCAACTAATGGATCACCTGGCTGCGCTCTTCCAGGAGATGTGGCGTCAAGGTGAAGTCCCACAAGATTTCAAAGACGCAACCATCGTGCATCTCTACAAGCGAAAAGGCAATCGCCAAGTCTACGACAATCACCGTGGCATCTCCTTGATGAACATCGCCGGGAAGATCTTTGCTCGCATCCTCCTCAATCGTCTGAATAATCATCTGGAACAGGGCCCTCTGCCGGAAAGCCAATGCGGCTTCCGTCGTCATCGCGAGACCACGGATATGATCTTCGCCGCCCGTCAACTTCAGGAGAAGTGCCAGGAGATGCGGACCCACCTGTTCTCTACCTTCGTGGACCTGAAGAAAGCCTTCGACACGGTGAATCGTGAAGGACTGTGGAAGATCATGCAGAAATTCGGCTGTCCAGGGCGATTCACTCAGATGATGCGTCAGCTGCACGACGGTACGGTGGCGCGAGTCACGGACAACGGTGCCGTCTGAGAGGCATTCGCAGTGACCAATGGAGTGAAGCGGGGCTGCGAACTGGCGCCTACCCTCTTCAGTCTTATGTTCTCTGCCATGCTGATGGACGCCTACTGCGACGAACGCCCCGGGATCCGCATCGCCTACAGGACGGACGGTCACCTTCTGAATCAACGGCGGATGCACTTCCAATCACGCGTCTCCACACCCACTGTTCACGAACTCCTCTTCGCCGACGACTGCGCCCTGAACACCACCTCGGAAGAGGAGATGCAACGGAGCATGGACCTCTTCTCTGCCGCCTGCGAGAACTTCGGTCTGGTCATTAACACGCAGAAGACGGTGGCCATGCATCAACCGCTACCCAACACAGCCACTCCTCCCAACGCGCCGCAAATCAGCGTGAACGGAACCCAACTGCAAGTGGTAGAGAACTGCCCGTACCTGGGCAGCATCCTCTCCCTTAACGCTGAAATCTATGACGAAGTCGCTCGCAGGATCTCGAAAGCCAGTCAAGCCTTCGGTCGCCTCCAAAGCACAGTTTGGAATCGTCATGGTCTCCAACTGAGCACGAAGCTGAAGATGTACAAGGCCGTCATCCTGCCGACGCTGCTGTACGGAGCGGAAACTTGGACAGTATACACAACGCAGGCACGTCGACTGAACCACTTTCACCTTAGCTGTCTCCGTCGCATCCTGTAGCTGAACTGGTAGGATCGAATCGCCGACACTGATGTGCTGGAACGGACGGGAATCCTCAGCATCTACGCCATACTGAGGCAAATGCAGCTGCGCTGGAGCGGCCACCTGGTGCGCATGGACGACGAGCGACTACCCAAACGACTCTTGTACGGAGACGTCGCGACGGGTTCTCGCCGTCAAGGAGGCCAAATTCGCCGTTACAAGGATACTGTGAAGTCCACCCTGAAGCATCTGCAAATTAACCCGACCAACTGGGAAGAGCTCGCCCTCGACCGACCGACCTGGAGGAGGAAAGTGAAGACAGGCGCTGCGATCTATGAGGCCAACCGAATCGCCGCTGCCAAAGTGAAAAGCGGCGCA